TTCTGTTTTCATGTTTCAGACATATATTTTGTATAAAGTAGAAAGAAGCTTTCAAGAAGAGTCTAGGAATTACCAAGGGAAAAAAAATAGAGAAAATTGATTTTTAAATGCCGATCTTTTTCATATTGACACTCCTGTTCCATGCTAACTTCTTTTTCTAAGATGAGTTTATCCAATTTTCAAATAGATTATACAAAATGACTATACAAAATGACAAGGAAGCACATCTAGGTTGGAACTAATCCTAAAATATTTCTTAATATCCGCATCTTTATTGTGAAGACAAGGTCCCCTGGCTTTAGCATTCTTAATACCGTGAGAAATTAAAATATTTTCTTTGGAATCATTTTCTCAGAGGTGAGAGAAAACTGATGGGAGCACTTTTGGTTAAGAGAGTAGACTTCATAGGTCTACATATGGGGAGTGACAGACCTCCACTTATACATGCACCCACATCAGAAGAAAGTAAATGAGAATGACATTTCTGATTCAGTACCAACTAAAATTTACAAAAGGTAGAGTCATCCAGAAGTTGTCCTCCCCAAGCAGTGTACATACTTTACACAGCTTTACTGTCCTGAAGACCACAGTGATTATGATCCATGCCTCCATGCTGTTTAAAACTGGCAAGTAGGGAAGCTATTAGACTGCTCATCAAGGGTATCTGCATTTCAGATAATCACTCCAGCAGTAGCACTATGCTATTGCAGTCCAAGGCACTGAACAAATCATTCAGGTTCCAGGAAACATACTCATTTATGGTGCCATTACTAAGGGTCAAACAACAAGGAAACATGCTTAAAGAGAGAGGATGTTTACAGCATAGATTCACATGAACACCAGATGTTGTACCGAGCCACACCCTGAAACTTCTTCAGACTTTCCGTGTTCATACCATATTTCCACTATAAGAGCTTTAATTATCATAAGTTAATCACATCCCTGAGGCATTACAAGGCAGCAGGCAATGGTGGATGCCTCTAATCCTTCTGGGGTGTAATTATTTCATAACCACTATGCTTCAGGGTTACCTGATTGCCATTATGGAAAATTTTATACTCTCTCTTTTCTCAACCCAAGTCTTTTAAAATGAAATACATCTCTGACCTATTTTACACAATCTCAATTCTTTCCCTTAACATGCAGTGTAGGACTTTGTTCTTTTCTAGACAGTAGAGGAAAGCTAATCTTCTCCCTCCACCCTCCGCTTTATGGCACATCTAGCACAGCGTAAACTACTTGGAGGCAGTATTTTCAAGGTGACAGACGGGATTTGAACAGAGATTTTTTTCACTGTTTGATGTAGGAAGGATTATGATGCTCAGCTCCACAATGAGAATTCTACAAAAGACTTGTTGTTGTAAGAAACCAGGGTCAAATACATGCAGATGTGTTTTCAGCTACAGCTTACTACCCTTCTAGTGGAAGGGATTTTTTGATGTGATGATTCATTCCTCTCAAGTTGCTTCCATCTAAGATAAAACCAGATGTGGATCAACATGAACTTTTTTTTAAATTATGAAGCCCTTTTTGCTTCGTCTATTTTCCATCTCAAAATTCTAAAAGGAGAGTCAACGAAAGAACCATAAGTAAAATAAATTTAAGAAATTTTGCTTACAGAATAGGCCTTTCTATTTTTAAAAACTGCCAAGGGCAGACGAAAAAACCATTTTACTAACCATGAAAGAAAGACTAGGTTGGGAGTACAAGGAACTTCAGAGAGTAAAAGATAAATGAATCCTCTTTTCCTCACCCAGACCCTGGCAAAGTACCCCAGCAACTTCCCAAATTACATGCAGGCCTCTGAATGGGAACAACTAGGACAAAGTCAAGACTTTTAAACTAGTGTAGTGCCATTTCTAGGTCTTTTCAATACCCATCTATGCAGCTCTGGCAGAAAACACAAACCAAAAAATTGCAATGACACAGTTCCCACACTGATGTGAGCAATAACTGACTACGGCAATACCTGGCAGTGCTCTCATGGCCTTGGTGGGTCTGACATTAGGCAGTGTTCAGACACAAGCAGAGGAGAATGAACTAGACTGCATTTGATCTGATGATGCAAATCTTGGAACATGCTAAAAATAAAATTCTTCCTCTTAAATTTTAAAGATCTCAAAACTTGGTAATATTTCAGGCTTTCCTCTCCCTGTTCAACAGGTTTGAGGTCCTTATGGCATTTATTTTGTGGAGTGCACACAGGAGATAAGGGTAAAGAATAAGTAACAAAAGCAAAGGGGTGAAATAAAAAGGGGGAAAGTACATTTCAGACTGAGATTGCTTGCTCAGCTAGAAACCAGGCAAGAATACTGCTGCTATAAGGCAGAAGCAATAAAAAATCAATATAAGTGTAGATGTCATTAGATGTCACACACCTTAACCAAAGCCTACAGTACCTGCCACTTGATCTTGCACCTGGACATCTCTCTCTCTCTGACTATAAACAAATGGATACATAAATAAAAACTTAGGGGCTGAGTTTGATTTAAGAGTGCTCTTTTAAAATTCTGGCTACAGGATAAACCTTCATCTCCTTTGCTCTACTGCTGGTTTAAGGTGACACTCAAAGTATTGAGAGTAAGCTCTGCAGTTCAGATGCCAAGCTGTCTCTTCTAAGGATTACTGAAGCAAGATAAGAGGGAAACTGTTGCTGGGAAGGTAATTTGTCTGCACCAATTCTTCTGAGGTAAATTGTGACTCATTAGGTAAAAGTATTTCTAAAAAAATGTTGTCTGCAGTTCATCGTTTACTTTAAGATATTGTTAATAAATCTCCTACAGATATCCTATAATAAAATTTCAGGTAAATTAGGGTAATAAAGGCAAAGATGTCATTATTTCAAAAATAATGATCTCATCTACATAATGTGGACTATGAAACAGGAATCTTTAGTAAACTTTGTTAAAGTTGGAAAAGGAATCTATAAATTACTTTTAAAAGTCCTTCAATTTTCTATTCTTCAGTGATTTCTTGATGTGTTTCTATAAATATTAAAACAAAATACTGTTCTCCTTGATAATGGAAACATTTTCTTAAAGATTAATGACCAAAACACAGGAAAGTACTTGAGTTCACTGGCTTGCAAGTCCATACCAAAATAAGGTTAATGTCGTTTCATTAACTGGATAAAGCATTGGGGGAGGGGGCCAGTTTTAGCTACTTAAACACATATTAACTCTGTATTCCAAGAAAACAGAAGCATTGATAGTTATCTAAATCATGAAAACTGAAGGTCTTATCTTTCAAATGGCTCCACCTTACACAGAATTACAAACACCACTCCAGAAGCCTGAAAATAGCACTTTTTGAGATTGTGGGTTTCCTCCTCCGATTTAGTTATTTGACACTGTTATTTTCTCCTCAAATGGAGCAGAAACGAAGACAGCTAGTCAGGACAGAAAGAGATCGACATAACGGTAAAAATAAACAATTTAACACATTTATATATACAGCCTTCAACCTCCATATAACTGCTTGGAGTCTAGCACTAAGAGGGTAAATAAGATAAAAATGTAGTTCTGTTTCATTACACAAGTGCTTATCGGAACTGCCTGATTTGGTTGGATTGTCACTGTGTAACTGAGAGCCACTGTAACAGCAACAGCACAATACCTTAGTTACTGAGTGAATTGCTGTCTCTGGCAGTCTCAGAGGAGAGTGACGGACTGGGAAGAAATTGAAACTTCAACCATCTATCGTAAAGTACATACAAGCATGAAGGGAAACCTCAGCAGAAGGAGAACTCACAGATGTTTGATTAGAGGACTTTGAACTCAAACACTGCCACATGAGAAACTTCCACCAATATTTTAATACTTTGAGGAGGAAAGAAAGATAAAAACCAGAAAACAGCTGTTGGAACTCAGCATTGTCTCTTCTTTCTGTTTGCACACCTTAAGACAGTTCAGGCCCAGTCCAAACTGCAGGAGAAACCTTTATTAGTTTCTTCTAGACCACAAGTTCTCACTTAGCATTATAAAATATATCATTTCATATATATATATATATATAAAGTATATAATTTCATACTACTTGCCACTGAAGATCAAGGACTCAGCAGAACATTTAAGAATATTTAAGATCTAGTGGACTACATACACCTGCTGGCTGCTAAGCACAAGGGAGTATGATGAAGAGGAGATAGCTGGTAGAGGGCAGCTTCACAAGCCAAAAGGCTGGTTCAGAAATACAGTCAATTAATCTGCTCTACAAATTTAAAACATAGATAATTTGACAGTCTGTCTCCTGTCTAGTGGTAACAGAAATCTGAATATTTAATTATCTTTGTGTTTTGAATAACTATGGTTTGTGGAACTGCAATTTAAAGCCAGTGGAGCAGAAAGAATATAAGCTGTTTTGTTAATCAGGACTTCAGTTACTCTTTCATTTGATTTCTAGTTCTAAAAGAATACAACAATGCTTTGTTTTGCTTTAAAAATCATATCTACATCATAAACCATATGTGTATCTTAAGTAATAAAAAACATTATGATCTGTCAGGAGGCAAATGCTACTCTCATTTTACAAGAGAGCTTTAATTAAAGTATTATAAGCCTCTCCCCTTGGGATGGGGCTCCTTCTCCGTAACTCAGAACCAGGACTGAGTTCAAGTCACGGGCCATTAGGCTAAGTGCTGCACAGGCACAGGCAGAAAGGATGTTCCTCTTATAAAGAATAGGCTGAAAATATGCTAGAAGGGATGTAGTAATGCTAACAGACTTCTGCAGAGTTGGTTTTGGTTTGGTTTTTGTTTGGTTTGTGGGTTTTCTTAAAGCTTTAGAAGTTAAGGCTTTTAGCCTAAGTAACAGAGGGCAAGAGAAATATCAAATGAAAAGAATGACGGGAAGTAGATGAGAAGCTGTGGAAGCAGAAAAAATATGCACAGCAGGAAGTGACTAGTTTAGCTAATGACAGAGCAAACCAACAGGTTAAAGGCTAGACTTAGTCTACTTAGATACAGGATCTACTTAGATACAGGAAGATATAAATATAGTGAGCGATGTCTTCAACTTATTAATATAGATGTATACTGGTGATTAAAAACAATGAGGGGGCTGTGCTGAGGGACAGAGCTCCTCCAGCAGTGCTGACCCTGGGCTCCTCCTGAGGTGCCTGCTTGCAGGACCAGTGGAAACCAGGCCTGGCACTTAGGGCAAGCTTTAGTTAGGATGGGATATTCACCTAGTCAGTTATACAATTCTTCAAAACTTACTTTATTATTACCTTAAGTTTATAAGATACCATGTGCAGAAATGCTTTCATGCAATATGATTATGATTTCATTTTAATTCTGGGATAGTGACTCTAGAGGATCATCTTCATTTCATTTTTGATATTTTTATGGTGTGTTGGTTTTCCTTGGCATCAGAACAGAAAGACATGCCAAAGCCTTCTCAAAAACAAAACATGAGTTATCTTCTGGCAAACTGTACTAGCAAGAAGTTGTCACTGATAGAGGAAGAAGTTGTCACTGATAGAGGAAGGGAATGATACAGGAAAAGCAGTGTTTTGAATAGTTTTCATTAAATGGACTGAGGTAGAGTGAAGTCAAGTGAATTGAAGTAAGAAAGAAAAATAGACTCAATGAAATTTCTCTCTGCTACCTACATCACAGGATATTTCTCCCTCTCTTTTCAAATATGATAAATCTGACACAAATATTCATATACTGTACTTATGCAAAACCTTATGCATATACACGTTATACACATATATATGCATGCACCTTTATATTATAGATGCAAAATATGAATATTGCACATAGGTATGTTGCATTTACTAATAGAGGATGTTTTCTGTATAGCTTACATCTAACAGCCCAATGGTTACTATTCTTAAATTTCCTTTTCCTGCTTAACTTCCTACCATATTAATATTCAGAAATTGCATATAGAGGATTTAGACTTCTATCACTAAAAAATTTAGCCCAGTCTTCTGCTGCAAAATTATAGAAAGAATTTATACTACTGTTGAACACATCTAGAAGGATTCAATAATCAAAGATAAAATAATTTTATTGTATAAAGCAAATTAGAATGATCTGTGATACCAGTATTGAGTGATGCCAGCAGCTGCCAGCCCCCTCCCACAAGCTGAGACAGAACAGGCAATAAGTAGTAGAAGGTGCTACAGCCTTTATTTTCACAGGTCAAATCTGCCCATTTTCAGAAGTGTACCTAGAGAACCAGGTTGGCCAGGAGGGAGCACAGGAGGGCCTTTCATCTGCAGTCCCCTCCAGATAGGCTGCCATGGTCAGAAAACCTCCTCAGACATCACAATAAGCCTCTTTGGTAACATATTCAGTGAAGCATTGTCCTTCTAGTGAAATTTCCTCCCCCTAGCACTCAATCTGAGCTTCCCAAGCTGCAATTCCCAGTCCATGCCCTTCGTTACATCATCTGGATTTACCAAGAAGTGCTTGTTTCCTTCAGCTTTGTGATTACTCTTTAATTGTCTGCAGACTGCTATTGGATTTCCTCTTTGCCAGGCTCAACAAGCCCAGCTGCCACAGTGTGCCTTCATGAGACACGTACTTCAGGCTCCTGATCATCTTGGTATCCTGTGCTTTTGGACATGAAGCTCTCCACTGAACAAGCTTTACCCTCCTTGTGGTGGTAGATCTCAAGTTTTAAAAATCATATGCCCTAACTTTAAAAAACATCCAAGAATATCCCAATTTCTACCATAACGGAGTTGGCCTCTCAGTAAAAACAGACTTTGACTTTTTCACTTACTCTTTTAAATTACAGCTGACACTCAAGAATAAATATAGCTCAGCACACATCAAAACATACATGCACACATGAAAACATACATAAATACACATACACTTTTCCACATTTAAAAAAAATTATTTCAGGCAAAATCCAGCAACCCTTTTCAGTTATAACTGCACAAGTCCTGATCAAAAGCTTGCTGAAGGCAAGGGGATTACATTCAATGACTTTCATTGCTTTTGGGTTGAGCCATTAAGAATCATAAAAACAGCTAAATCTGAATTAGCATTTTTGTAAGAACAAGTCCAATTAATAAGTGGGAGAACTCCAAAGTAGATGTGGTGTGCCTCAGAAGCTGTGCTGGTAATTCACTGGGTAAGATCAAATCCCCTGCTCAGTACTGTTTTAAGGCAGCTCTCAGACTTTAATGTCAGCTACTGACTGAATACTTTTTTTTTAATGATAGTAAAGGTATCAATCCCAGCATCTGGGACAAATTTCAATTTGAGTTATTACACTCAGATCAAGCCACATCTTTCTACAGTATCTTCACATACAGAACACTGTTTCAGCTCTTAATATTAAGCAGCTTCCAGCTCTGAACTCTATACTTACTCAAAGAGTGGCTGTATTTCAGTAGTTTTATGAAATTATTACGTATAGCAAAATCTCTGGAAACACTATGGGTATTTATTTCATTTTAATTTGAACCCATAAGTTAGGAAGAAACTCCATTCCATAGAGGCACATCCAATACAGCAAATTTAGCTTTGATTTTTTAACAGTATTACCACTTAATTACTTTCCTGAAATTACAGTGGGTGGAAGCATGATGTTAATTTTGCCTGAGACTAAACTACATACTGAAAGACTGGTCACTTTAATTAGTTCAGCACTCCCAAAATCATTAAAATAAAAAAAAATGGAGAGCAAACAAAGAATAAGCTGCATGCCACATGCTTAATTTCACCTGTAACTTCATATTGCATGTTTGATGTAAAAAATGTTAGTTCAATCAGCCACAACAAGGTACTCAAATGTGGCTTTTGCACAGACAACCCAAATCATAAATAAAACCACAGTAACTTAAAATGCAGGTGACAGAACAGAGACAGCAGTGTGACCTATAGGGAAAAAAAGCACAAGTGATATGGAAGGCAGAAGACAGTGTATTTACCCTGTACAGATCAAAATATCAAACCTCCCTCCCCATTCCCAGTATGAAAAAGCCACCCTTTGTCCCCAGCATCACCACGATGTCAAACACCACAACTGACCTTCAGCTCGTTCACTACTCAGAGACTGTAACACAAGCTTTTTGCAGTTATTTCTTTGAAGCTTTGCTCTCAAAGGTTCTGTTATAGAGTCAGACAAATTATCAGGACTACTGATGCTGTTAAGTATTACTGATGCTTCAGCTGCTTTGCATACAAATAAGTAGTATCAGCTTCTTCTTCCAGAGGACCTAAAACATTTTCACCGGGATACAGGCACAGGGCAAACTTCTGTAAAAGGTAAGAGACCTGCAAGCTTTAAAATGAGCCCCCATCTTCCCCAGGAACCAAGTAAGACACAGATGAACACTGAGGTCAGCAACAAACATGCAGACTAAGTAGCCTCCTGGATCCTCCTGTTCTTATGACATATTACTTATAAAGATCCTCTTGCACAGATGAGCTGGATGAGGCAGAAACAAAATGTGCACGTCCTAAGGTGACATTCCCTGCACCATCTCAAAGTGAGTCAAGACACTGACCTCAGTTTCCCTCCACTTGTACATAAGGTTTCAAGACAGTAACTTTGAAGGTGCAGCTGGGAACACCAGCACAGAGTCTAGCTGTAGTTCATACACATTTCCTCAGCTGCCTGCCCTGGGAGAGCACTTGCTGCAGCAATCAAGTAACCATTATGTTTAAGTAACAGATTTGATGCTAGCAATATTTCCCTTTTAAGAACAAGCAACTTCAGGATGCTATTTAATCAGGCCACCATCTATCTGTGCATTCTCAAATGATACAAATCCAGCAAATCATTCTTTTCTCTCTGTTTCAAAGATCAGATGGGGGAGGGGGAGAAGCCACAGTGAAAACATTACAAAAAGCCATTAAAGTAAGAGACAACTGATTTTGTAATCAAATTCTTTATACACTGGACACAGACTTGGACAACAGTACCACAAAAGCATTACCCATTAAGAACTCTTGATTTAACCATTTTGAGATGTATTTTAGAAACCACAACAACAAAACCTCCGAAATGTCAGATGCATAAATTGAGGCCACCATATCCCAAGTGATTAAACCAGAGTGATCTAATATTCATACTTTCCCTAGACTATGTCTCTTTGTCTTTGAGTGCTGTCTTGAGACTCCTTGGCAGAGAGGAAGACCATGAAGTGCAGCTGAGCAGCCCTCTCGCCTGAACTGCTCTCAAGACAGCACTTTGATACAGGAGGAGACAGGACTCAGGAGAACACATAAATATCTTATAAGGTGCTGGAACACTCAGTAATTAATTTTTCAGCAAGGAGAAGCTTTTATTTCAGCAATGTGTAAAAAATAAATTTCTAATTCCATTCCCTCTGCCTTGCTACTCATGCTCTGACCCAAAGTAATAGAAGAAACTGAAGAGTAACAATTAGAAACCTGCATAAAAGAGGCTAAGAGTTCCTGTTTTTACTTAACCTAATTTCCACAGCAGTATGTGAAAGCTGTATTTCCATTACAGAACTCTGTGGAAAATTTTGGGTTTTTTCTGTGTGAATCTAAGAGAAAAAGAACATTTTGGCTTTCATTAGGACAAGAAGGTCGAGGGGGGTGGGTGGAGATCCTGAAAGCTTTACCTGCTTCAGCACAGACATACTTTTGTCATTCTGAAGTCTGGGGTAGGTTAGACAAAGCATGAAAGCATTAGTCACAACAAATGGGAATGTCCAATTTTTATGGGAGCATTACATTAAAAGTTATGATGAGTCAGATTCAACACATAATCTGATGGAAAAAAGCATGTTCCTCCATCCCTCCTCTCCTTCCTAAGCACTGATTTTGCCTGAGACTCTTCCTACACAATTTTAACCCATCTCTTTTGGATATATTGCTCTTCCAACATGAGAGACCACTTGCCCTGTTCCAAGCTCTTCCCTGAAGTCCTAAGTAAACAATTAGAGATACCCTCTATTAGCTCCCTGACCTGCTATGTCTGGCAAGATCTGGGGGACAGCTTCAGATGCGCACCTAAATGGTTTGCTACACACTTCCACTTTCAGTCAGGAAGTCACAGAGAAGAAAATCTGT